GCCTTGCACTTTTGCATTAGGATCCCAGTTCCTTTCCTTGGCCTGCCCTGTAAAAATCCTAGTGCCTGTGTAGTATGATTAAGAATGTTGCTGACATAAGCTGTATGTACTCCCTACTTGTAAACCCCTTAAAAATGACTTTTTCCCTCACCCTTGCAGAGCAGTCTTGGTGCCAGCAGCCCCAATTGCTTCCTTTCCTTGAGCAATAAAATAGAGGCACTTTTCCATTCTCCCACCTCGGTCTCTCTGGCCAATACTAGTCATGCTGAGAAGAACCTGGGGTTTCCACTGGTAACATTTTTGGCAAGCCAGCCAGGAGTCATCCACTCAGTTCCAGAGGCGGATTGGACAACAGACTGGCCCTGATGTCTAGTGTCAACAGGAGACTTCTCCTGGAGACCTTGGAGCAGCCCTGAAAGCCAATCCACTTCGGACCTAACAGTGATTCTGTGGAGACATGAAATGTGGCTGGGTTATTTGGTAAGTGTCTAGGTAAGGCCTTAAAAGAGTCCTAGCAACGTAGCTTATCTTAATGATGACTAACTTCCCTCCCTCCACGATGTGGAGATGTTCAAGTTACTAAATACTTGCAGTCCCTTTGGGCGACTCTGTCTTCTCTCCACAGATGCGCTTACCTGAAGAGACCACCTGAGCCAGAGATGCCCCTCCATCCGTTCCAGCCTGGTGATTGGGTCCTTCTCAAGGCATAGAAAAAACCAAAGTCCTTTAGTGGTCTTCTTGGCTAAACTGATGGCTGTCAGACTCAATGGAGTCAAAGCTTGGGTCCACCACACTTGAGTAAAGAAAGCCACCCCACTGGACGCTGAGGGACAGACTCACCAGAACTATGAGAACTAGACTTGTGAGACAGTCAAGGACCTTAAGTACTTGTTTTCCCAACACCCTCCTGCATGGGTGAGATCCCTCAAAGACTCTTACCACTGCTACTAACTTTGGTGTTAGTATTCTGTTTCCCATATCTATACAAATAGAAGAAACGTTGCTGGGTGGAAACCCCAGGTTCTGCTCCGCGCGACTTGTTACAGCCAATAAACAAGACACCAAGATGGGAAAAGAAAGGTACCTTTATTTCATTGCGCAAGGAAAGGAGCAATCAAGGCTGCTGCCTCCAAGACTGTTGGCAGGCAGCTTGAGAAGCTGGGCTTTTACAGAGAGCCAACAAGGAACTGCAAATTTATCATGAATGTTCAGGATTGACCTTCACGCAGGCACTCAGAGCTTGGGGATGACTATGCATTTTTTCTAGACAAGGGTCTGATCCCCGGGGTTGGAGGAAGAGGTCAGTTTTCCTTTATTAGCATGTTAAGTCTCCACCCAGAGTTGGGATGAGGGCATCTATAACCTGTTCTGTGGTAATCTTTCAGAACAATGTGCAGCTTATTCTGCTCGGTGTAGGAGAATAAGCCAGAGCAGGTGTCTCCTTTAAGTGTTGGGCTTTGAGGCTATCTGCCTCAGAAGTACAACCAGAATGCTCCTTTGAAGCAAGGATGGTGAAACTACGTCTTACATAATTTGGACATGTTATCAGGAGGGATCAGTCCCTGGAGAAGGACATCATGCTTGGTAAGGTAGATGGTCAACGAAAGACAGGAAGACTCTCAAGAAGATGGATTGACACAGTGGCTGCAACGATGAGCTCAAGTGTACCAACAATTGTGAGAATGGTGCAGGACCTGGCAGTGTTTCGTTCGGTTGTACATAGGGTCGCTATGGGTCGGAACTCACTCCACCGCACCTACCAACAAAGCAAGCCACAGGCAAGCTTGAGCAAGTCAGGGAAAGTCAAGAGAGGGTCAGCCAATCAGAATCTTGCTGAGAGGTTCCAGATTCCGCCCTATCTTTATCCTGAGAAACAGCTGCCCCTTGGATTCTTTGGTCTTTCTCTGTGTGGCTAACATCTCTCCTATCGGATGTTTCTTATGCTTTCAGTAAGTCCGTTTTATTTTAACAGAGTTTTAGAATTTCACTCTAAAACGCTAGAAAAAAAGTCCAGGGAGCCAGGCTTCAACCTGTGAGTGACGCTTCCATTCTCCATGAACAGGGTGAGAGTTTGCTACGAACTTTGAGAACTTCGGCAAGAGGAGAATGACTACAGAAACAAGCCCTGGAGCTGCGGGTAAGGGCTCAACTGAGGCTTTGGGAGCCTGCTTTGCTTTCCCATTCTTTTTCCCCCTTAAGGAAAATGTAGCTGACCACAGGGGTGCGTGGGCAGCACGCTCACGGATAGTGGGGTTTGTGTTATGGAGCCTAAAGCCAGGGAGGTCCAAAGTGGGCTTTCGAGCCAGCGCACTGGCTGAATCAGGAACGCCAACCGCAAGTGCCTCGTCCGCAATTTCGGGCGCCGAGGGGCGGGGTCCGGAAGTCATCAGAGAAAGCTGTCACAGGCTTCTCCCAAGTGTAGGGTGTGAGGCAGCTGGAGACCGAGACTTCACTCGGGAACCACTACCGGTGTGATGAACGGGTATTTTAAGAAGAGACAGGAGAGGCTGTGCCCAGTGGCTGTTGTCAGAGTCCATGACCCGCGTGGCTCACAAGTCGCTCTTGGGACGGCCAATGGGAGCCGCACGCCGCGAGGATTCTGGGAACTGTAGTTCTGGCGGAGTTCCGCGGCCGGTGACTGCACGGAGCGAGCGAGGCCCTCCCGGGTCCTTGAGCCCCGAGCGTCTTTTCCCCGCGGTAAGGAGGGTCAGGAAAGCTGGGGCCTAGCGTTAGGGCCCGGGGTGGAGCTCGGCGGGCAGAGTTCGAATTTCTTTTTTGAACACGGTGGGATTAGTCTAGGACAAACAATTCCCGAATAGAGAGGGCTGCTTTGGTCTTGCATTCCCAGGGTTATCGGGGCTGTGGGCAGGAGTTCAGCCAGGGGCAGAGACTTAACACGCCCTGTCGGTGGGGGCGTGGCTTTTTGTTGCTTTTAGGTGTCGTGGAGTCGATTCCGACTCACAGCGACCCTGCGTACAACAGACCGAAGCACTGCCGGGTCCCGCGCCAGCCTCACAATCGTTAAGCGTGAGTCCATTGTTGCAGCCACTGTGTCAAGCCATCTCGTTGAAGGTCTTCCTCTTTTTCGCTGAGCTTCTACTTTACCAAGCATGATGTCCTTCTCCAAGGAGTGGTCCCCCCTGGTGACAAGTCCAATCCGTTTCATTTTTGACGACTTCCAATGAGGGGCGTGGCTAGGGCTATAAACCCCTGGGGTTTTTCGGTGGGGAGTGCTTACTTGGTCCTGCATTCCTGGGTCTTGGTGAGAATCCAGGACTTCATCGTGGTTCTTTGGAAAAACGATTTGGGAGATCTTCCCCCTAAGCCCTGAAGAGTTGTTACCTTTGTCCTAGTTCTCTGGAGAAGCAACTTGGTGGTGGGGGAAGGGGACTCCCAGTTTATTTTCTACCCCAGGGGGTTTGATACTTTTGCCTGGGGGATTCCCTGAGTTGATTGACATTTCCTGGGTAGTTGAGGATTGGTTGAACTCTGGTCTGGTGAGAGAGGCCCTGTCTTGTAACTGATGAAGCTCAGGGTATATAAGTAAGTGGCTGGAAAGCATAGGTTTTTGAGGCCTCCTAGTAGAGAGACAGAGATGCTGACTAAAAGCTGAGCTAGCAGACCACATGGAACTAAGGGGTCCTGAAGCTGCTCCACTGGCTGTGAGCTGAGCCAGATAGCAGCAGAGAGGCTTGATGGCAGAGAACAGCTAAGAGAGCTGAGCAAGCTGCTCCACTGGCTGTGAGCTGGGCCAGTTAGCCACAGAGATGCCCTGATGGCAGAGAGGTGTCTTGACTGGCCAACTACATGCTGAGTTGCATCTTGTTACTTTCAAGTTGCATCCTATTCTGAGTTGTCTCCTGAGTTGTATCTCAATAAACCACTTAACTGTAAGTAGATTTTGTGAGTTCCGGGACGCATTACAGTGAATTACTGAACCCAGCGTGGGAGAGAATGCTGAGGTCAGAGGAGGTGGCTGGCATCGAGATGATGAACTGGCACAGCAGCTTGGAGAAGGTGGAAATCTGGCGTATAGGTTTAACCTCCACATCGTAGGAACCAGCTTTGTGTTGATTTTTATTCATGAACTTATTTGTTTACAGTGTATAGTTCTTCGTGTTTCATTTCCTTCCTTCACTCCCTTCCTCTGCTGTTTCCACTGGCTGTGTTCCGGAGGCTGCCCTGTTGGCCTTGGTCCTGGAGTGAAGACGACAGTGAGCACAGCTACAATTGACACATGATGGACATGAAGCCTGAGGGAGAAACAAGCCTCTGTTACTTTGTCACTGAGATTTTGAGACGTTGTTTCTTACTACAGAATAACACAGCCCATCCTAAACAATACTGACCCTTTCCTCTGCTTTACTCGGAGCGTCCTGCCTTCTTCAGGGTGAGTTTTGAACCCTGTGGACATCTGGTCGCTCTGCTTTTTCATGTAGTCATTTTTTCAGTGGACATTGTTTTAGCCGTTGGTGAAGAAAAGGGGCTTTGGAATGAGAATCTTGCATTCCAGGCAAGTGCATGTAGCACTTGACAGCTATATGACCTTAGAGACAAACCAGCTTCTCAGTGCGTCCGTTTTCTCCTCTGTCAGAAGGTGTAATAGTGGTATTTCCATCTTGGCCGTGTTGTGAAGATTAATGGAACTCTGTTGAGTACAGTATCTGGTTTATAAATGTTAAGCTACTGATGCTGTTACTGCCAGGAGCAGGAGAGCTATGCTTACTAGCTTAGGCTAAGTTGTGCTGCAGTAACACATGACCCCAAAAGCTCATGCGATCCGACCTTAAATCCAGCCCTATCCCTCACCCTTCCTAGGTTGGTGTTGGCTCTACACCGTGACCTTTTACAGCAGAACTGAGGCTGAAGGCGAGCCTGTTTGGAGAACATGTTGCTCTCGTGGCAGAGGAAAAGGAACAGGAGAGGTGGTGGAGTCATGTAACACTTAGAAATCCCACCATCACTTTCACTCCCATGCATTGCCCAAGGCAAGTCACAGCGTCAAGACTGAGGTCAGGGGCAGGGAAACAGATAGTAGAGGAAAATGATAAAATCTGCCACAGAGGCCTATTTTATGCTAATCACTAGGATAAGCAAATGACCAGCACATTTTTTCTTATAAGAAGCTCACATTCTAGTGAACGCAGTGATTTAAGTAAAAAAATTGCAGTATGGTTTGATTGAAGTCATGTGTAGGTTGGACAGAAGAGCGAGTGAGCAGCCCTGCCTAAGGGGTTGGGGGACGAGTCAGGAGAGCATCTTAGGAGAACCCCAGCTAGCCTTAGAGGGTACTAGGCAGCAGTAAGGAGTCCTGTCCAGAGGCACCTCTGAAGATAGGCCTGTCAGTCTGTTTCCGAAAGGTCAGGACTTTGAAATCCCTATGGAGAAGTTCTACTTCACACACATGAGGTCACCGTGAGTGGGAATCGACTCAAGGGCAGCTAACTACAGCAACAAGGCAGCAGTAGGACTGTAGGCATGTGGGCTAAGGTCCTGGCCAGGGAGTCTGAGGAGCTTCTGAAGGTGCCATAGCTCTACCACCACCTGCCTCCTCTAGACCCCATGAGTGGGGGACTTTGACTGACAGGGTCATGTGACATACACAGAATGGAAGGTGGGGTGTTATCTTTGTAGAAGTCATTGTGAGACCTGGAGGGACTCGGTTCATACACCTTATTTACGTGGTCGCATCCCCACAAAGGTGACATGTGCTTTATTTACGTTAGAAAAAGCCGTCCAATCCCCTTGGGGGGCCATAAGCACATTATTTGCATAGTCCCACCTGATCATTGTTTGGGAGTCACAAAGACTATGGCTAGAAGGGCCATATGAACTATTTCACTGAACTGCAGAAGCTGACTGTCACATACCCTGATGGCATGGAGGGAGACAATAGAGGCTCTTTCTCCGCAGGCCTTAGGCTGTATTCCATCTTCTCTCTGACTCGGGTAGCAGAAACTGATCTGGAACATGAAGCTTGAATCTGAAGTGCGGGGTAAGAGGGGTGCAGTAAATTGTGACAGGTGAGGGAGAGGGTCAGGGAACAGGCTCGAGGGCTTGTAGGCCAGAAATGAATAAAGGTAGAAAATCCAGAGGAGCCGAGTAGACTGAGACTCTGTGATTGCTGAGTGAAGAGGGTGAGAGAGGACAGGACCCCTGCTGAGGAGGCATGGGTTTAGCTCACAGGGAAGGATCCAGCAGCATCAAGTTGCTTCTCCACCCACAGGTCCTGGATGCATGGAGACAAGAGGGCTTTCATAATGAGGTTTGAACAAGTCCCCCAGGCAGCAGGAATCCATCTTGAGGTGAAGTAACTTCTGACTGGCCCTGTGGCAGAATTTCAAGGCAGTCACCGGACTGACTCTGGGGCCATCACGTTGCCTGATCTTTCAGCCTGGGGAGAGCAGGACTGGGAGAAGATTTTGGCTTCAAAGAACAGGGAAGACGTGGAGACCATGAAGAAATTGACTCCAAAACATGAGGCTAAAGGTGAGAGTTGTGGAGGGTGTGGAGAGGTGAAGGGGAGACCAAGGCTCCAGGTTCAGGTGAGAATGCTTCAGTGGCCACAGCTGAGTGAAGTGGCTGCTTCCTTCCATCCCAGGGCTCAGAAGAGCTACTCTGGGAGCATTCTGGGAGGTCTCACAGCTTCTCTTTCTCCCTTAGGTGTGTCTTCTAAGGATACTGACTGGTCCCAAGAGAAGAAGAGGAAGCCCACAATACTGGTGAGTTGGAGTTACCTTATTTTTCTGAAATGCTGGCCCCTTTCCAAGAGAACAGGTATATATACCCTTTCTCGGGAAGGGAGAAGGCCATCAACATCTAGGCATTTCATGCCTTAATGTCAGGCATAATGTTAAGCATTTTAGAACGGTTGTTGCAATTTTAGATTTTATTTTTCTTGCTGAAAAATATACCCAGGATTAATACTAAGAATCTGGGAACCTCTAAGACATAAGGAATTTTTTTTAAAAAATTGAGATTATTAAAATTTTAAAATATACTATTAAATTTTACTGTACATCCACATACATACTATCTAATGCTAGCATCGTATATACTGGGCTCCTTTTTTTTTTTTTTTAATTGTACTTTAAGTGAAAGTTTACAATTCAAGTTAGTCTCTCATACAAAAATTTATACATACGTTGTTATGGCACCCTAGTTGCTCTCCCTGTACTGTGACAGCACATTCCTTCTTTCCACCCCTGATTTCCCATGTCCATTCAACCAGCTCCTGACCCTCTGCCTTCTCATCTCACTTCCAGACAGGAGCTGCCCATTTAGTTTCATGTATCTACTTGAGCTAAGAAGCACACACTTCACGAGTATCATTTTACGTCCCATAGTCCAGTCTAATCTTTGTCTGAAGAGTTGGCCTCGGGAATGGTTTTAGTGCTGGGTTGACAGAGAGTCCAGGGGCCATGCTTTCTGGGGTTCCTCCAGTCTCAGTCAGACCATTAAGTCTGTTCTTTTTACTAGAATTTGAGTTCTGTGCCCTACTTTTCTCCTGCTCCGTCAGGGACTCTCTGTTGTGTTCCCTGTCAGGACGGTCATTGATGGTAGCCGGGCACCATCTAGTTCTGCCATTCTCAGGCCGATGCGGTCTCTGGTTTATGTGGCCCTTTCTGTCTCTTGGGCTAATACTTCCTTGTGACTTTGGTGTTCTTCATTCGCCTTTACTGCAGGTGGTTGGGACCGATTGATGCATCTTAGATGGCCACTCACTACCTTTTAACACTACTGGGCATCTTTTTACTTTTTAATTACTGAACTTTTAAAACATACAGAAATAGCATGGTGTCTTAGTCATCTAGTGCTGCTGTAACAGAAACGCCACAGGTGGATGGCTTTAACAAAGAGAAGTTTATTCTGTCCAAATTCAGGGCATCAACTCCAAGGGAATGCTTTATTTATTGGCTCTGGAGGAAGGTCCATGTCATCAATCCTCTCTTGGTCTGGGAGCTTCTCTGCGCAGGAACCTCAGGTCCAAAGGGTGCGCTCTGCTCCCGGCACTGCTTTCTTGGTGGTATGAGTCTCCCCACTCTCTGCTCACTTCCCTTTCCTTTTATCTCTTGTAAGATAAAAGGTGATGCAGGCCACACGGCAGGGAAACTCCCTTTACATTGGATCAGGGATGTGACTTGGATAAGGGTGTTACATCCCACCCAGATCTTCTTTAACATAATCTAATCTTGCCTCATTAACACAGGCAGAGATTAGCATTTACAACACATGGGAAAATTACATCAATCACAAAATGGAGGACAACCACACAATACTAGGAATCATGGCCAAGTTGACACATATTTTGGGGGACACAACTCAATCCATGACACATGGTAAAAATAGTTTCTCAGTTACCATCATGTAGCTTCAATAATCATCTATCATGGCCAGTCTTATTTATAGGAATATGATGTTGTGTCAGTAAATCTTAAAATATCAGTTATAAAATACTCACTTTTCCCCTTCTCTGTTCAATTCTGAGACTAGCTGCCCACACAGCACTTCCTTCTCTGACCCTGGCCACCTGGAGCTAGGTCAGTCTCACAAGTTGAAAGGATACTCTTCTTCACACTGCCAGATAGGCAGATTCTAGACACAGTTTCAGAGTCCACATGACCAACACTTCCACCTTGCTGGCTGCAAATTTGAGGTGTCTCTTCGTGCTTCTTGATGCCATCTGCAAGCTTGGGAGTCCCCTCCTGGGCTCCCTCATTTCGGACCTGTGGGCTCTCACTACTCGTTTGGGTTTGATAATTCACTGGAATGACTCACAGAACTCACAGTAAGGGTTGTATTTATGATTACAGCTTTATTATAGCAAAAAAGGATATAAAGAGGCGCATAGGGAAAGGTCCGGGAGGGTTCCCAGTGCAGAGCTTCCACGTCCCAGAAAGGGATGTGCTGCCATCCCACATGCATGGATGTCTCTCACCAACCAGGAAGCCCGTGGAGCTTCGGTGTACAGAGCTTTCGTTGACTTCATTACATAGTTGTGATTGAGTACATCAGCTCCCTTCCCTCCTCTAAGGTCAGCTGGACTTTGAAAGAACTGATGTGATTCCTTACTGATCTTGATGTGCACCTATGCAGCGTTTATGTTTATTCCTTTATGTAATTACCATGGCAACTGAAATTTGAATTTTGTTGGGGGACGAGGCTTATTTAACTAAACCATGGTAACTGAAATTTGTGCATATTCGAACTGTGCAAAGTATGAAGTTTCTGTATTTAAAATGGGGGAATTATAAAGCAAATGGATTTTACATCATACCTCAATAAAGTGTTCGTAGGAGCCCTGACAGTGCAGTGATTAAACATTCAGCTGCTAACTGAAAGGTCAGTGGTTTGAACCCACCAGCTGCTCTGTGGAAGAAGGATGTAGCAATGTGCTTCTGTAAAGATTACAGCCTTGGAAACCCTTTGGGGCACTTGTATTCTGTCCTGAAGGGTGTTTGTGAGTCAGAGTAGACTCCGGCAACAGGTTAAAGTGTATTGTTTTTAAAAATTAAGTTATGTGTAAATGTCCTTTTTCTGGAATATTACTACCATTCTCTTGCCAACTGTTTCTGCATAGATGAAATACTACTCTACGTAATGAGTGAAATGTTAAGGACTTTATTAGAAAAGCTTCTTAAAATACATACACAGAGATAGTGATTTTACAGATCCCATTTAGTTCCTGAACTCTGCAGAAATGCTCCCTCCAGGCCCCATCTGTTCACTCCCACTTTTCTGTGTAGGTGAAGTTTCCATCCATCTTCTTTAAATCTTCACTGTCCCTTAATGCCTAGCACAAGCCCCACCTCTGTGACGCCTTTTGTTCTTTTCTAGCCCATCCTGTACTCTCCCATCTTTGAATTCCTCCATTATGAATTCTCAGTCACTTTCTTGAATACTGCTTAATACTTTCAGATTGATTCACAAAGCATTTCTCCAATGAAGTCATACATGTCTGAGGGCCAGGATGGGTTTTCTGCATCACTTGTGCTCCCCACAGATTTATTACAAGGCCAGGTATACAGTCGTGTCCAAGAAAATTTGATGTGGGGAACTGTGTTCTCTGAAAAGACTTAGATGAACTTCTTCAGATCCAGACTCTTGAGGGCCACCAGTTAAACTCCTCTCGTTGGGAAAATTGATGGTGATTTGCTGTGCATTGATTTACTGCTTATTCTAGGAACCAGTTACATTCGAGGATGTCACTGTGGTCTTCACAGAGGCAGAATGGAAGAGACTGAGCTCTGAGCAGAAGCACCTATACAAAGAAGTGATGCTGGAGATTTATAGGAATCTGCTCTCATTGGGTGAGCACGTGCTCTTTTCCTTTGTTAATTCAGTAGATATTTATCAGACACCTATTATGTGCCAGAGGAGCCCTGGTTGCCCAGTGGTTAAGCACTCGGCCACTAACCGAAAGGCTGGTATTTCAAACCCCCCCGCTGCTCTTTGGGTGAAAGATGTGACGGTCAGCTGCCTTAAAGATTTATAGCTTTGGAAACCCTATGGGACATTTTCTTTCCTGTAGGGTTTCTATGAGTCAGAATCAACTCAGTGGGGTGTTTTTGGTTTTTTATATTTCAAAGATTTTCTATGGGCTAAACAGTTTGGGCTGAACTATTAGCCTAAAGGTTAGTGGTTCGAACCTATGCACCAACACCAAGGAAGGAAGGCCTGGCAATCTGCTTCCGTAAAGATTACAGCCAATTAAACCCTATGGAGCAAATAAAATAAATAAAACGAAAGTAAAAAATAAATCCTATGGAACAGTTCTGCTCTATAACACATGTAGTGGCTGTGAGTTGGAATCGACTTCATAGCAACAGGTTTTGTTTTGTTCTTCCTTTGTGCCAGATAATGTTCTAGACACTCAGAACGCATCAGTAAATGTAATAGAAATTCCTGCCCTCACTGGGTTTACAGAGTATAAGGAGACAGACCAGAAACAGTGAACTTTATATACAAATTAGTTTCCCATTTAACAATTTTTATACAAATTGTTCTGTGACATTGGCTACAATTTTCACAATGTGTCAGCAGTCTCATCATTTCCGTTCTGTTGGTCCTGTTTCCTTTGATCTAGCTTCCCTTCCCCTTCTTGCCTTCTCATCTTTGATTTTAGGTACATGTTGAGTGTTTGGTCTCACGTGGTTCATTGTTTCAGGGAGCACCTTACCCATGGGTGAGATTGTTTTTTTTAAGTCCATCTATCATTGCACTGAAAGGTGATCTCCAGAAGTAGTGTTAGTGCCAAGTTCACAGAGTATCTTAGGGCAATAGTCTCAGGGGTTCTTCTAGTCTCTATTGGTCCTATAGGTCTGGCCTTATTTTGGGAATTTCAATTTTGTTCTACATTTTTCTCCTTTCTCCCATTATATCCAGGACTTTTTATCGTGACCCTGGTCACAATGGTAGGTAGTGGTAGCTGGGCACCGTGTAGTTCTTCTGGCCTCAGGTTAGAACAGGCTGATTCATGTAGTCTATTAGTCTTGTGGACTAATTTCTTTGAGTCTTTGGTTTCCTTCATTTTCTTTTGCTACAGGGGAGTAGAGACCAATCAGTATTTCTTAGAAGGCTGCTTGCAAGCTTTTAATACCCTAGACACTACTCACCAAACTAGGGTGTAGAACATTATCTCTCTGAACTATGTTATGCCATTTGACTAAGGTGACTCCTGAGGCTATGGTCTTAAGCCTTTTAACCCAGTAAACCAATCCTGTGAGTTGTTTGGCTATGTCTAGGCAGTCTCAGTAACTATGCCCCCGATGTGCTTTATTATATTTATGGATATATATGCAGCACACACAAACGTGTACACCTTTGCCTACAGATTTACCTATACATGCACGTGCATGTACTCGCATATGCCTTCCTATGCACATGTATACATACATATCTACCTAAGTAGTTACATGCATATTTTTTGGTTGCTTCTCTGAGGTTACCTTTTTGAGTAATTTTTCGCTTTTGGAACCCTGCTAGTGTCTCACATACTAAAAGAAATTAAATCAACAAAGAAAGAGGGAAAACTCTAAAACAGAATACAAAAAGAAACAAATCTAAATCTATCCCAAATGAATAACATGACCCCAGTGAATGGGGGGTAAACAATCCAATTAACCTTTGAACCTTTGATCATATAGTCAGTCTAAAGCAGGGCTTGGCAGCCCAAGGGCCAAATCTGGCCTGCCTGCTGTTTTTGTCAATAAAGTGTTTCAGAACACAGCCGTCTGTTTATGTATTGTTTGTGGCTGCTTTCATTCATGTATGGTAGAGCTGAGTAGCTGGAACAGACCTTGTATTCTGCAAAGCTTAAAATATTTACTATTTGATCCTTTACAGAAAAAGTTGGCCAACTCCTTGTGTATTGTCAAAAAAAAACAAACAAAACAAAAACCTGTGTATAAATCTTTCACGATATTTCGTATGTTTGTTTTCTGTAGCTGTATGGGTCAACTATTCTGAAACCCTTTCCTTTGAATTTTAAGATTAAGTAAATGAATAAATATACTGATGCTGGGAGCCAGGTTTCTCACTATTGGAGAAGGGAGATATAAATATGGAATGGGGAAGGCTAGAAAGAACCTGGATTTGGATTGGAATAGGAGGTGTCAGAATAGACTCAGGGGTTTTAAAGCATTTGGAGACCTAGAGAAAGGCAGACATACACACACAACATACACCCCAGGTGAATTTGAATAAGTTCTGTATAAACAGAAAGTTTAAGTGTTAACAGAAGGGTCGGAAGTTGAAACCCACCCAACAGCTCTGTGGGAGGAAAGAGCTGGTGATCTGCTCCCATAAAGATCACAGCCTAAGAAGCCCTGTAAGGCAGTGCAGATCTGTCGCATGGGGTCGCTGTGAGTTGAAATCGCCTCAACGGCACCTAACAGCAACATTGTGCCATTAAGTGTGCTGATTGTGAGAATTGTACTGTGGTTAATGTACGTAAATACAGTTGTTCTTTAGAAATAATCAGGGGTAAAAGGGCATGATGTACAGCAAAGTTGCCCAAAGCGGCCTCTATAAATCTAAATGATCTTTAGTGAAAGACACTTTTACTTGTATGGGGTTAGAATTATATTAAGTTTATGTGATTTCCTTAACAAGGGTGATAACTGTCATGAGCCTGCAGGTCCCGTGTTTAACTCAGAACAGACACAAAAGAGAGTCTTTCTCCCACTAAAATCCTTCTCAGAGACGCAGAGTGTAACAGACTGCAGTCTGAATGACTTGGTGCGCTTGTAGGTAAGCCCAAGGAAAGACAGCAACAAATCACAGGGGATCAAAAAATCAAGACTGAGAGTTCAGCTCTCAAAACTCTGGAGTTACCACACCGTCTCACAGGAGATGACTGGCCAGAAATAGAAACAAACCCTAGTTAGGTTACTCAGAGAACCTAGGTAAATAAAGTAAACTCGGGGAGCCTCTGAGAGAGCCCCCAGAGCCTGCTGAGAGACTCAGCCACGGCAAGGCTGCCGAGCCCCCAGACATGAGTGTGTTTGAGCAGCTCAGCCCCAGTATACTCCCAGTATAGCCCAGCAGTCCCAGTCCAAGCAAGCGAAGTGCAAACAGATTGTCAGAAACTAAAACAAAGATCACAGAGGGTTAACCAATAAAAAAGCTGAATAGGTATTTGTTTATGAGTGAGCAACCTGTAATTCAGATTTATTTCATATACAATCTCTATAACTACCACTGCATATTGTGGTGAAATGAGTCCCTTTATGTGGCCTTTTGCCTTGGTCCTTGGAAAAACAACTTGAGAGATTGTCCCTCTAAACTCTGAAGAGTGACCTTTGCCCTAGTTTTCTACCCTAGAGGGTTTGTTACATTTCCTGGGTAAGCTATAAATAACGTGGTTTTGATACTTTTTGTTTGGTCATGGGCTGTAGCCTGCCCTGTGATTGGTGTGCACTTGCAGGGATTGGTCAGTAAATTGTGCAAATGAAGTATCTGTAGGCTACTGTGCAAATGAAGTGTCTGTGGCCAGTCGAGAAGGGATTGGTCAGTTTATGGCCCTGATTGGAGGGCTATGCCTTGAAATTGATGAGGAGTTTGTATATATTAGCAGCCGACTTCAGAGATTTTTGTCAGGTAGAAGGAAGCAGGAAGAGAAGCAGCAGTAAGAAGCAGAAGGAAGAAGGAAAAGCAGAGAGAGAGAGGAGGCAAGGAACCTCCTAAAAGAGCTGTAACCCAGGTCAAGGGCTATAACACTAAAGACAGCGAGAGGCCTGGGAGGGGCCTGGTGGCGACAGATGGCAGTGCCAAGAGGAGCTTATCTGGAGGTGGCTGAGAGGAGGGCTGCAGGGTCAGGAGGAGCTGAGAGAGCTGTCCTGCACTGAAGAGGGGAGAGTTTGCCTACGTGCTTCTGATTCTGATCCTGAGTTGTAGCCTGTTGATCCTGATCTGGAGTTGAACCCTGTTCCTTAATAAATCATTTCACCGAAGTATGGTTTGTGAGTTCTTTGTGGCCATTGCAACAGATTATCAAACCCGGAAGAGAAGCAGAGGTGCTGTGGTGAGGACAGCTGGTGTCAGAATTGGTAAAAAGATTGGAGGGTAGAGGTATGTCTGACCTCCACCTCATGGGAATCAGCTTGGGCTGATGCTGATCATTATCCCTTCTGAAGTTGGACGGGTTCAGATGCTACTTCTATGCCATTTTCACAAATACACTGTCGTCTGCATTTGGAAGCCCGCCAGCTGAGTCAACTTTTTATGTCTGTCAGTCCCTTTTTATAGTAAGAAAGATCATGAAAGTGATTTCCACATAGGTTGTAGAAATGTTATTTCCAAGTACTAGCAAAGTGTTACGGGCAGTATAGATCAATATGAGTATCTATGGCTTAGAGAGTTTTAGTAGAAGAAAAAGGCTAACTATAACAAAAGTGTTTACAAAGCTTAATAGTGTCTGATGCTTACTTGAGAAGTTCCTAGTTGGGCTGATGTGTTGAAGGGTTTTTGTTGTGGATATCTGGATTGCAATACCCAAACCCTCTGCCAGTGAGTCGATTCTGACTCATAGTGACCCTGTAGGACAGAGTAGAACTGCCCCATAGGGTTTCTGAGGCTGGAAATCTTTATAGAAGGGGACTGCCACATCCTTCTCCAATGGATCGGCTGGGGCGTTTCAACTGCTACCCTTTTGGTTAGCAGGTGAGCACGTTAATCTGTGCATCACCTTGGCTCCTTCTAGATTGTAATAGAAAGTATAATTTCTAAAAACGGAATATAAGTGAATTACTGGTGAGAAACAAATTGTGTTGTATATATTGTCAGTTACAAGTGTGGCAGTAAGATTGTTGTTGGTTGCTGTCGAATCAATTCCAATGGATGATAACCCCATGTATGCAGAGTAGAACTGTTCCTTAGAGTTTTCAAGGCTGTGACCACTTAGAAGCAGAGAGCCAGGCCTGTCTTCTGAACCGGAAACCTTTCGACTGGTAGGCGAAATCTTACCGATACCACCCAGGGACTCGAGCAATGAGATACTGTCTGTCATAAGAGAAGGAGAAGAGCCCAGGAGCCCACTTAGGCTACTCTAACGGAAACCTTTCTCTCTTCAGCAGAACCGAAGCCAGAACTCCAACCCTGCTCCTCCTGCCTTCTGGCTGTCTCCTGTCAGCGATTCCTCAGCCAGCACGTGCTTCCCATCTTCCCAGGCTTCTGTGCGGAACATCACTTCCATCCAGGGTGTTCCAGCCCAGGGCATCAGAAGCAGCCAGAGCAGCAGGATTCTGAGCAAAGCTGCTGGAGGGAAAACACAGAAGGTCAAGAGAGAGAAGAAGTCTCCAGACTCTTATGTGGGAGGAGAGGGGAGAGAGGGACTTCCAGGGCGTTCTCCAGCCCACCCCAAAGACGGTCAGCAAGCCCTAGAGAAGGCAACACAGAGGTAGGGGTGGAGCCCAACTCAGCCCAAAAGATAAAATCTGTGGTAAGAGGCCAAGGGTTGAAGGAATTAGAAACGTCAAGATTTGGAGCGCTCAGCTCTAGAGAGGATGAACCAGACTGTGGCCTGAAGTCAGACTTCATCACACGCCAGAGGTCCCTTTTACAGGAGAAGCCCTATGTTTGCAGTGAGTGTGGGCGAGGCTTTACCCGGAAATCAGTCCTCCTCATGCACCAGAGGACACACGCAGGGGAGAAGCCACATATGTGCAAGGAGTGTGGGCAAGGCTTTAGATGGAAGTCAGGTCTCCTCATACACTACAGGACACACTCAGGGGAGAAGCCTCATGTGTGCAAGGAGTGCGGGCTAAGCTTTAATCAGGAATCAAGCCTTCTGTTACATGAGAGGACACACTCAGGGGAAAAGCCACATGTGTGTGAGCAGTGTGGGCGAGGCTTTAACCACCAGTCAGCTCTCATCAGACACCAGAGGACACACTCAGGTGAGAAACATTACTTGTGCTTGGAGTGTGGGCGAGGCTTTAGCCGGAAGTCAGGCCTCTTTCTCCACCAGAGGACACATTCAGGGGAGAAACCACATATGTGCAAGGAGTGTAAGAGAAGCTTTAGACGGAAGTCAGACCTCCTTATACACCAGAGGACACACTCAGGGAAGAAGCCACATGTGTGCAAGGACTGTGGGCAAGGCTTTAACTGGGAATCAAGCCTCCCTTTACACCAGAGGATACACACAGGGGAGAAGCCTCACGTGTGCAAGGAGTGTGGACGAGGCTTTACCCAGAAATCAGTCCTCCTCATGCACCAGAGGACACACTCAGGAGAGAAGCCACACGTGTGCAAGGAGTGTGGCCGAGGCTTTAGCCATAAGTCAAATCTCATCACACACCAGAGGACACACTCAGGTGAGAAACCTTACGTGTGCCTGGAGTGTGGGCGAGGCTTTAGCCAGAAGTCAGGCCTTATCGGACATCAGTGGAAACACACAGATAAGAAGCCTTATGTTTGCAGTGAGTGTGGCAAAGGCTTTACCCAAAAATCAAGCCTCCTTATACACCAGAGGACACACTCAGGGGAGAAACCTTATGTTTGCAATGAGTGTGGGCGAGGCTTTACCCAGAAATCAGTTCTTCTTAATCACCAGAGGACACACTCAGGGGAGAAGCCACATGTGTGCAAGGAGTGTGGGCGAGGCTTTAGCCACAAGTCAAATCTCATCACACACTTGAGGACGCACTCTGGTGAGAAACCTTACGTGTGCCTGGAGTGTGGGCGAGGCTTTAGCCAGAAGTCAATCCTCCTTACCCACCAGGGGACACACTCAGGGGAGAAGCCATATCTGTGCAAGGAATGTGGGCGAGGCTTTAACCGAGAGTCAAGCTTCCTTCTCCACCAGAGGACACACTCAGGGTAGAAGCCATATGTGTGCAGTGAGTGTGGCTGAGGCTTTAGCCAAAAGCCAGGCCTCGTCAGACATCAGAAGACACACTTGGATGAGATGTCTTGTGTTTGCAGTTAGTATGGCCAATGCTTTAACTGTAAATCACTGCTCGTACATCAGAGGACACAGAAGCTCTGTGTGTGCAGGGAGAAGGGGCAAGAATTTGGGAAAAAGGCACACACTTCAGTATACATTGGAGAACAGGTGTTTTTTTGGGAGAAGCATGTGGGCAGGGAGAACGTGAGGTGCTTTAGCAGTAAGTTGTACCTCTTCTTTTACCAGAAGACACACTCAGGGAGAGCTGTGTGGGCAGGGTCTGTGGGCGGAACTGCATTCTAGTGTGCCTCCTCAACTGACTTAAGAGGACAAAATGTTGTCACCACAAAGTACTACTTGACCCACCTCTGAGGGAGTTTCAGGAGAAGTCTCCTGACCACCTATACTCTGTATGAGGTGACGGCGTGAGTAGTAAGTAATTTTCCACATCCTGCAACCAAATGGAATAGAAAATTAGAAGTCTTTACTTAAATAATCTAAGAATGGTTGACTTGTTTTATTTTCATACACCAATTCTTTCTGATGCTTTGTTGTCCTCTTGTTGTAATAAAGATTTTCTTTAATAAACCGTAACTCAGGCTGTGTTACTCATCTGTCCTGAATGGCACATGGAAATCAGATTCACTTTCAAGTTTCTTGAATGAATTCAACCCTTAAGAAAAAATAAGTCCTACATACATTCATTGTGGAATCTGATCCTTTGCATGGGGAAAGGAGTGATCTAGGTTTTGGAGACAGATGCCAAGTGAAGGGACAGAATGTCCCACATCTCCAGGGACTCAATTACCTCTTCTCCTAAATGATCATTTTTTTTTTTCTGTTACTACCTTCTGTTGGTTTCTGTGACAGCTTCCTTCCCTGGTTTTCCTTCATACTTTCTCGTCTCTCTTCTGGTCTGCTGAATCTTTCTCTATGCATCAAAGCAATGCTGTTCCCTATTGCTCAGTTCCCAGTCCTAGCTCCAGGGTCCTATTAACTACTGACTCTCCCTCACCTCGAAGTCAGGCTTTCCAGCACCTTCCAGATTCTGAGGTCAGATGTTTTAACTATGCCCAGATTGTTTTCCAGTCTTGTTTCTTTGGGCCTCTTGGCTACTCCATATGTCAGGTCAACAGTAATAGGTCTAAAGACCCCTGAACATGTTTCGAATACCCGGTGTAAGGACCTTTAGCCATGTCCTCAGCCCTCCAGTCCTAGGACCCAGCCCTGCTAGTAACACTCCCACATCATTGTAATAACTGCTATTAGACAACTTAGCCATTCAACCTCTGTTGTTTCTCACTCCAAGGACCTGGCCCTTTAGCCACACCCCTGTCTATCTCTCCTCATTCAGAGCCCAGATTGTCCAGTTTTTTGACAACTCTGCATGTCCTGGCCCTTACCCTTGCATCCTGGGATAGTAATTATTCACTGGAAAGAGCTTGCCTAGGCTGCAGCAAATTTGTTTGCCCAGCTGGACTTTGCCAGGTCCACAGAATGGGTATCAGAGTTTGAGAATCAGAGAAAGCATTGAGAGTTTTTGACACCTCATCAAATCAAGGCATGGAAAAATGTCAAAGGAGTCACTGGCCCCACAGGTTATACCCACTTTCCCTAACCTTCAAGTCAACTTTCCAGAGGATCCTGAGTCTGCTCAGGTGGGGAAAAAAGATGGGAGCACCTGGAATGTGTGCTCCCATCCTTTGCCACATTTGCCCTAATATACCTTTGCGAGCACTCCCCTCATAACAGCAACGGTCTCTTTCTGGTCAGAACTGGAAGCCACAGGGAAAGTGATACAGATATGTAATCTCTAGGGGTTTGAGGAGGGAGGATTCCTGATAACCCCAAAGCCCTTTCCCTGCAGTTGGGAAAGAAATGCAATCAAGAAACCCAGCAGCTTCCTTGGGGAAAAAAAGGATGGAGATAGAAAACAGTGCAGACTCTTTTTACCAAAATCCCCCATAAACGGTAGCAGCCTCAGCCATGCCAAGGGAATGGACTCTCCTAGCCTAGCAGAGGCAGGGGCAAAGGGTTGTCTTTCCAGATCTGGCAAGGAGCTTCCCCAGACTACTGCTTCCTTCCTCCTTTGTCTCTTAGAAGGTCTGCTGGAATCAGGTCCCCATCACTCCATCACAGAGGGAAGCATAACTGAGGTGTGCTGAGGGAGGGGGAGTGTTGTCAAAAGGGAGGTAAAAATGCCCTACTCACCCAAACTTTGGTTTTGGTATCCAGGGAGGAATAGCTTAGTTTTCGTGTTAGGAGCCAATGGCTTATTTCTGGCATTAGGTCAGTGGTCTCAAACCCAGATGCCTGCAGAGCCCAGACAAGTCCTATTAATGAGGGAACCAAACCCAGATTGGAGGTGGGGGGTAGATAATTTGGAGAATCAGGAAGCTCACACTCAAGTCACTTCACAGCATCTCCCTGTGATGGTTAATGTTATGTATCAACTTGGCTGGACCATGGTCCTCAGTCATTTGGTAGTGTGTGAGAGCAATCTAAAATCTGAGACCCTCGGTATGACTAAATTCCTGACTCAACGTATAGTCAATTTGCCTTTGACATGCACCCCTACTTTGAGTCAACAACTATGTGATTATGCTTGTTTAGGTATGTGATAAGAGGATATACTGCAAGAGGATTATGACAAAAATGTTCTGTTCTCAAAAAATGTTTATGCAAAATGTTATGAAAAAATGCTTATGCAAATTGGCTTTAGGAAGTCTGTGATGGAAAGTGGAGTAACTGACATTATGAAAGATTTACTTCTGACATTTTGTAAACCCAATCCCTCATGTATAAAATCCCCCTCTCATTTCAAACACTGGAGCACTTCACTTTGTTCTTCCCTGTTCCCTTCTGGAACCATTTTATTCAACAGTAAAACCTTTGCTTTCTCCTTAGCAGGTTTAAAGAGCCTTATTTTAAAACTGTGACAGGCAATTACGGAAAGATGTGATTTGACAGATATGTAACAATGCTGTCATCCTACATTTTGTGATCTACTTTAATTATCCTCCATTTGTGGCATACATCCGATATATATAGACGGTCTGGCAAAGTGCACTGGCTTGCTTTGGATCCTGCATCTAGCTCATCTTCAACTGACCTCTAGTTCTTGGGACTTTGCCCAGCAACCTGCTGACTTTGGGATTCATCAGCTTCTGCAGCCCGTGAGCCAGCAGCATGTCCACTAACCTGCCAAATTTGGTACTTGTCAGCTGCTGCAGCCCGTGAGCCAGCAGCCTGTCGTCTGACTTGCTGATCTTGGGTTTGTCAGCCCCTACAACCATGTGAGGAGAAACCTTACCTTAGGCTGAGTTTTCTAGAGGAGCAAAACCAGTCAAGTGTATATGCATATATACAGAGAGAGCTTTATATCAAGGAAATGGCTCACACTATTGTAGAGGATGGAAAGTCCCAAGTCCATGGGTCAAGCATCAGCTGGAGGTTTCCCGTGACTCATGTAGCTGTGTGTGCTGATGAACAGATTCTTCATTCAATTTCAGCTAGAGGTGTTAGGAAACAATAGAATAGTGTATTTGGTTGGTTTGCTGAAGCATGGATTAAGCAGTGGCCTATATTAAATGAGGTTGAACAAATGACACAGAGGGAAGACGACCTTGTGAAGACGGAGGTGGAGATTGAAGTTATGGCACCACAAGTCAAGGAATTTCTGGAGACACCAGAAGCTGGGAGAGTCAAGGAAGGATTCTTTCCTATAGCCTTCAGAGGAGTGTGGCCCTGCCAACACCTTGATTCCAGACGTCTAGCCTCCAAAACTGTGAGAGAATAAATTTCTGTTGTTTTAAGCCACTCAGTTTGTGGTAATTTGTTGTGGCAGCTCTAGGAAACTTAACACAAGGAGGTTGCCCAGAGAGTGGTACATGCCTATGGGAGCTTGGTTGGAATTGGAAGGGTAAGGCTGGAGCATGCTTTGTTGAGTGAGGTCTGCATCAAAGGACCATGCTAGCGACATGGCAGAGGCTGATGTGAAGTGGAGGACACTAGTCTCCCATCACTGGAAGGGGCCCTGGAAGCATGTTTGCTGTGATTGCTTCACTTGGTGTGAAGGCAGGAAGAGGCTTGAAGCATGGGTCTGACTCTACTATTAACCATCTCCATGTCTTTGAGAATTGGTGTCCTCAGGTGTAAAACAAGTCTCCTGGAACAGTGTTGCCCTTCTCAAACGATTACTGCTGTTTTAATGTAGGGACTGATCAGATAACCAGTGCAAACGCAGCCCGGAGAGATGCGTGCTACTTACGAATTCAAAGATAGTTGTATGTGTGATGGAATAGACTTTCTTCATCCACTCCTGCCTCAGCTCCTTTCTTCTCCTCTTCAACCTCTGTGAAAAGAGGATTTTTGGTGAGCCTAAGTAGAGAAAGACTATGTTAGCATAACAATAAGAGCTGAACACAAGATTTCAAAGTGCGGCTCAAGAAGACAAAGTATTGTAATAAAATGTGCAAAGACCAAGAGTTAGAAAACCAACAATGAAGAACACACTTAGCATTTCTCAAACTGAAAGAACTGAAGAGAAAATTCAAGCCTCAGGTTACAATACTGATGGCTTCTAAGGGGAAAATATTAAATGACGCGGGAAGCATCAAAAGAAGATGGAAGGAATACACAGAGTCACTATACCAAAAAGAATTGGTTGACGTTCAGACATTTCAGGATGTAGCATATGATCGAGGACTGATGGTGCTGAAGGATGAAGTCAATCTGCACTGAAGTCAATGGTGAAAAACAAGGCTCCAGGAATTGACAGAATACCAACTGAGATGTTTCAACAAACAGATGTAGCACTGGAAGCGCTCACTTGTCTATGCCAAGAAATTTGGAAGACGGCTACCTGAACAACCAACTGAAAAAGATCCATATTTGTGCCCATCCCAAAGAAAGGTGATCCAACAGAATGCAGAAATTATTGAACAATGTCATTAATATCACACACAAGTAAAATTTTGCTAAAGATCATTCAAAAGTGGTTGCAGCAGTATATTCACAGGGAACTGTCAGAAATTCAAGCTGAATTCAGAAGAAGATGTGCAACGAGGGGTATCATTGCTTATGTCAGATCGATCTTGCCTGAAAGCAGAGAATAACAGAGAGATGTTTGCCTGTGTTTTATTGACTATGCAAAGGCATTCAGCTGTGTGGATCATAACAAATCAAGGATAATTTTATGAAGAATGGGAATTCCAGAACACTTAATTGTGCTTATGAGGCACCTGTACGTAGACCAGGAGGCAGTCGTTTGAACAGAACAAGGGGATGCTGTGGCCTAAAATCATCAAAAGTGTTCATCAGGGTTGTATCCTTTCACCATACTTACTCAATCTGTATGCTGAGCAAATAATCCGAGACGCTGGACTATATGAAGACGGGGCATCAGGACTGAAGGAAGACTCATTAACAATCTGAGATATGTAGATGACACAACCTTGCTTGCTGAAAGTGAAGAGGACTTGAAGCACTGACTGATGAAGATCAAAGACCGTAGCCTTAGGCATGGATTACACGTTAACATAAAACAAAAATCCTCACAATTGGACCAGTAAGAAACAGCATGATAAACAGAGAAAATGTTGAAGTTGTCAGGAAT